AACCACTCCCCAGGAAGGTCAACTGGGAAAAGAGACACAAAAGCACATGCAGCTGTGCTGGCATGAAGGCAGTGACATGCATATTTTGTACATCTCTTAAGTCTCTGTGTTGTCGGTTGTCCCTTGATTATTATCTTGCTGTATCAATCTTCCTGCCTGAAGCAGGGAAGATTTCCCTCCAATGATTCAGGCAAAACCCTGGCTCTCTCAGCATATCTAAAAGCTGCGAAGAGACTATTCCTGTTTGTACCTTTCTTCTCCTGGGGCCCTCTAGATCAATGCCGTGCAATAGAATGTCCTGCCGTGATGGAAATGTTCTACACCGCAGTGGCTACCGAGCACTTGAAATATGGCTAGTATGACAGAGGAGCTGAATTTTGAATTTTATTTAATTCTTAATTTAAGTAGCCACAAGTCCTGAGTCTGATGGCACACAGCTGCCTGGCCCCTGCCAAGGAGACACTCCTGCCTCACCCTTCCTTGTTTGTTTTATCTCTCAGAAATCCATCTATAGCAAGCACAAATCATTCTCTTCTCCTGTTGGTTAATCCCTTGATTCCCAAACTTCATTGTGCATGAGAATTCACCTGGAGATCTTGATAAAACTGTTTCTTGGGCCTACCCTCAGAGTTTCTGATTCTGTAGGTCTGGGGCATGGCTGGAGATTTTCAGGTCTAACACATTCCCTGGTGTTGCTGAAGCTGTTTGTCCAGGGACCACCATTTGAGAACCATGGGTTAATTAAGCATCTTGTTTGGAGACAGCTGTGCCTTAAGGAATCAGTAGATCGTGGAGGCCCACACAGACACCATCCCCTGGAGTAATGGTTCTCAACATTCCGGCAGCCCTTTGAAATCACCTGGGAAGCTTTTAAAATTCCTGATAACCAGTCCCCATCCCAGACCAGTGAAATTAGGATCTCTGTGGCTAAGACCCAGACATGAGTGTTTTTTAAAGCCCCCCAGATGACTGCAGTCAGGATTGAAAACCCCTGCACTCACGGGACTTAAGCAAATTTCTTTGCCTGTTAAGTTGGAACAGAATTAGCTGTTCACAGGTCACAGGGCTATTGTGAGAATCCGATGAGACTGTAAATGCAAAAAGGTTTTATAAACTGTGGGACTTAAAAGTAAGGATTTAATCGTTGACAGTCTTGGAAAAGAAATTTGCAAATGATGCTGTGATCCCTGTTGGACTGAGATAACACTGCAGTCTGTGGCTTGCATTCCAGTACTGTCCCGCTGACCAAGCCGCTGCAGGCACAGACGCTGAGCACGTGCAACAGTTCTACAACCTCCTAACCGCCTCCATTGAAGTATCCAGAAGCTGGGCAGAAAAGATTCCTGGATTTACTGATCTCCCCAAAGAAGATCAGACCTTACTTATAGAATCAGCCTTTTTGGAGCTGTTTGTTCTCAGACTTTCCATCAGGTAATTACTATTATTTTATCTTCCTTCAGTCCACTCCTTCCTGTGAAGAAGTTTGAAACCTGCTGTGTTGGTAACTAAGTCGTTGGTGAAAAGTTTGCTCAAGAAGGAAATATGAAATATGGCCAGACATTAAAAAAACTGAGCAGTGGCTGGAGCACTGGGCAGGTAGCCAGACTCTTGGGTTCTAGTCTCAATTGTAATGTGGACTTTCTGTAAGACCCTGAGCAGGTCATTTGCTTCACCAGAAATTTTGTTTCCTTCTTTGTAAAATGAGGAGGTTGGATTTGGTGATCTCTAAAGGCTGTTGTAGCTCCAACATTCTGTGATTCCAGGAAGATTCTCAGGGTGCATAAAGTATTTCCTGGGAGCAAGTATTTGTTTTGAACCTTGCATTTCCCTTGGAGTTTTCTGTTTAACAAGTGATGGTTCTAACACACCAGATGGGGCGCTAAAGACTTCCCACAGCATCTCAACTCCCAGTGTTCGCTCCAAGAGAATAATAGCTTCTGGATCAAAAGATTTGGCTCAACTGATTATACTCAGTGACATCAAACACAAAGAGGAACTGATTTTTCAAAGAGCCAGAACCTGGGATTTAAACTTCTCTCATGAAGTCCACAATTAGCGTTTTAAATTCTGTCTTCCTTGCTTCCTTTCAGTTTATTTTATATACATATATATATATATATATATATATATATATACACACACACACATATATGTATATGTGTACATACATATGTGTATATGTATATGTATGTATACACACACACATATATATATAGTGTTACCAGAAACTCATTTGAAGTGCAAATTCCCATGTCCTGGTACCAGCTCTTTTGGTTTGGATCTACCTTTAGAAATCTGCATTTTTAAAGTCATGATCCAGTGATTCTGATGCTGGTAGTTTGAGTTCCAGATTTTAAATTCTGAGATTGAATCACCCTGTCCTATATGTGCATCTGTGGAGGGATCTATGGGAGAGACCGAGGTGGGGTTACAAAGAGACTGCCAATAATTAGCAAAATTACAGCCAATCCTGTGTGTGCCGGAGCTAAGCTAAGCCAGCAACGTGACTGTCATCTAGTGGACAGGCAGCAGAGGATTAAGTAGGTGATAAGCTCCAGGAGGACAGGCACCATATAGGCCCCATTCACCAGGTGTTCTCCAGTGCCTGGCTGAGGAAAGGTGCATACTTTGTGCTCAGGAAATACTTGCTGAGTGAATGAACAAATAAAGCTCTCATCCAAGAAGCACAATTAAAGAGACATGAACTTATTAATGCAATAGGCCAAGAGAGAGAAATATGTGTCAAGAGATTTGAAAATTAAAGGAAAGTTCAGGCTAAGGCAAGGACCACCTACAATTCAGAATTAGTTGCATGTAACATTCGTTGGGCTCTCCTTGTATACCAGGCTCTATGCAAAGGCTTTCAAATCCTTTGTTTTATTTAATTCCCACAGGATTCTTTGGAGGTAGCAATTAAAATCCCTGTTTTATAGATAAGGAAAAGGAAATTCAGAAAGATTAAAAGAGTGCCCAAGGCCCCCCTGCAAAGTGGTGCTAACTGGCAGTTCCAGGACGCCTTTTATGAGAAAAGAATGGGATGTTGATGGACATGATATAAACTATCACGACAGATTTAGAAATAGCCTTCTACAGCCCCACTGTTAAAAGCAGAGAACATGACACAAAATAAAAGCTTTTTTCTTTTAACTTTAGACTGTTTTTCAGTTTGTGATTGACTTCTGGCGCTTGCAGGGACTTGGTGTTTTTAGAGTCTGCACAATGGAATTGTAGTGTCTAGCCTCAGGCCTTATCAGTTTTTGACATTTAAGAAAATGAAAGAGAAATTCTGGTGAAGGAGCACTGAAGGGAGCAGTCTCATGTTCACCACAGAGAGAGATGGGGCACTGGGCTCCACCTCCACCATCCACAAGTGCTTGCTCCTCCTCGGGTCCTGTCCCAAGGTGAGCCAGCAACTGCTTCTAGCAGTGAGAAAGCAGACACCATAGTCTGAGCATCCCCAGGGCTAATGCTCACCGTCTTGTTCTTGAGGGTGTCTGGGCAGGTTTCACAGCACCACACTGAGTTTTGAACGCTGCCCCCTGGCTGTCTGGTGCCTGGGTGTTATGATGTTATCCCACTGGACAGACTGAACAGCCCTATTTATTAGATCTCTATCCCCCACCCACCATGGTTTTCTCTTGTAGGTCGAACACTGCTGAAGATAAGTTTGTATTCTGCAATGGACTTGTCCTGCATCGACTTCAGTGCCTTCGTGGATTTGGGGAGTGGCTCGACTCCATTAAAGACTTTTCCTTAAGTTTGCAGAGCCTGAACCTTGATATCCAAGCCTTAGCCTGCCTGTCAGCACTGAGTATGATCACAGGTAAGCACCACCCCGCTGTGACCCCAAGTGACTGTGTCCCCCCCCCTCCCCTTTCCTGGTATCACATGGATTCTGGCTTTGGCTGTCACACACACACCAGAAAATTAGGAAAATGACTGCTGTTTTTCAGAAATCTGCTAAGTTTACCCTAGTTTCAACCAAGAGACATACATCTGCACTTACTGTCAGGAACTTCCAGGAAAAAGGGTTCCTCGTCTATTTGGTTATTGTCCACAAACCCAATACATGACAGTCTAAATTTCCAGTTTCCACAGGAGCTCTGTGGACTGTTGGACTAGCTGTTTCAGGGTCATTTTCACAGGGAGGTTTGAAGGAAGATTACCTTAACCAGCCTATCCCTGTGCGGCGGAGAGGCGAGTCATCCCCTCTTCCCAGTCCTTGGCTAGTAACCCAGAGTAAACCCAAAGCACTACACACACCTAAAACACACCTTTATTTGTTTACAACTTTATTTAGCAACTTTGATTGACAGAGGACTGAGGAAAATTAGTATAAAGCAAAAATGGTTCTACTCAACAATTTTTAAGGGTTGAGAACCAGAAGCCTTAAACATATTCAACTTCTATATTACTCTTTTTTCCCCCTAGATGTCTCCCTCTCTATCTTTTGGGAAATACAGGATTTCAAGACAGAATGAGAGAGAGAGGAAGGCACAGTGGGTGAGAGAGGGGACACTATCTCCCTGTGGCTGCTCTGGGCCCCAGGCCCCAGCTCCCCTTTGCTCCTTCACACTTTCAGAGTTCCCTGTGCTGTCTCATCCTTCTTGATCAGACTGGGGCAGTGAGGCAGTGACAATAGGTAGAGGCTCCAGAAAGGCTAGCCAGACCCAGGGTTCACCTCCCACCCTTTTCATGGGACCCAAGCACAGGCTAGGCTGCTGGACTGAGGATGGGGTTTCAGATTCTTGATATACTCTTGGCTACGGAAAACAAGTTTCTCAGGCAGGTGATGAGTTTCACAGAGGTCCAAAAGCATCCTGTGGTGCAGATGGGCCCTTCTTTCTGATGCATCAGAAATGTGCGTTGTTTATATGCACCTTCTTGGGACATCTCCTGTTGGCTAAAGTGAGATGTGTAGGAGTATCTTAAGAGGCGAGGCTGGTTCATCACTGAACAGTTTACTTGAAGGCCAAGAAGAGTAAAGGCATGTACTGTGGGAGGAATCAGACACTAGCATGTTCCCTCAGTGTTCCGAGTGGAACCTGACTCCTCCTGGTCTTTGGTCCTGGATGAGAAACTCCCTTCTTTTAATGGGGGCTGCCAGAGACTTCCAAGGGAGCCATTAACAAAACAAAAACAAACTGCAGTCTCCAAGAGTGTGGACTTGATTTAGAGGGCTTTCGAATGGCATCCATAAGGGAGAACCTGAAGAAAATAAGCAGGTTTAAGGCACAAGCATATTACTGCAGCACAATTGGAATGAAATTGGTTCAAAGGCTAACTTTTAACTGAAACTCTTCAGTTCAATTTCAAAACCATTCGGATTCTCCTAGGAGAGTTACACTTTCAAAACTAGGAAGTATGATATTTAGTTAATTTTAAAAAACATACAAAAGCTAGAGCCAGCCTTTGCTTTCAGTAAATAAAGCCAGCACGTTGCCACGTCTCTGTGGAGATGAGTGTTGCATGTAGTTAATCACCAGTGTTTCCTGATCTAGGCACTCTGCCGCATGTCAGTGGGTTTTCAGAGATGGTAACAGGCATCCCTGGAGGAGATAGAACATGCAGACGGATCCATGTGATACAGGGTGTTGAGTGCCGTGGTGGGTGTGGGAGTGGGCAGAGTGCTGAGGGACCCCTCTGGGGGGTGGTCTTCTCAAAAGAGGTAACATGAGCTGGTTCTCGACAAAAGCATAGGATGTCTCCTGGTTAAAATAGATGGAGTGAGAATTCTAGACATAAATAAAAATTTGCTAAAACCATTGAAAATATGGTTATGGTAAGTTTCAGAAAGGAAATGTCTAAAAAAAAAATAGAGTGAGGGGGAAATGAGACTGTTGTGATAGGTTAGGGTGGGGCATGGCATGAAGAACCTTTCACACTTAGGTGAGAAGGTTAGAGTTTATCTTTAAAGCCATTAGGATCCACAGAAAGTTTTAACCAGACAAGCATCATGGACAGGCTTGCATTTTAGGAAGGTCTATCCTGATATCTGGTTTTGAGAACAGATTTTCACAGGAAAGAGACTAAAAGGGAAAAGGCCAGTCCAGGTGTGAGAGGTGTACCTCAAGAGAAGGTCTTTGAGGCCTATGTCTTGTTTGTTTTACCCTTTCAGTAGAAGTCACGGTAGATGGGTGCCAGGCAGTCCCAGCCGGGAGAGACTGACATTTCAGTGCAGAGAGGACAGAACAGGAATCAGGAGAAGGTGGTGTTAGCCCTGAATCTGCCTCCAGTTTGCTGTGTGTCCAGCAGTTATAGCTGCTCAGCCGCTGCCCATTTATCTAAAGTCTTGCTCAGAGAAGGGGCAGTTTGGTGAGGCAGAAACTGCATGGGTTTTGGAGACCAGCACCTCCAGGTTTAAACCTGGGGCCCTGCATTTAATAAGTAATGTTTATTGAGAAATGCATTTCATTCCTCTGAACTTCAGTTTCCCTATCTGTAAAATGGCAGTAATAACATCTATCCCATCAGGTGACATTAGGATTACAGAAAACCAGGTTTGCAATGCAGCCAAACTAGATTCAGAACAGGCACTCTATCCACCTATGTTCCATTGTGGAGGGATGGTGACAGGGATTTCCTCAAATTAGGCACGTGCCTGCCCCTTCCTCAAGCCCTAGGCAGTCCAAAATCAAACTCAGAGACATGAGGAAACAAGTGGTGGCCTTAGACGGCAGTGTGTTTGACAGGTATCTCCTTGGATGCTTGAGAGAGGCTTGAAGAAGGACAATGATATTAAAGGAATCCAGCTGCACTCACCGGGCACTTACAGTGGGCCCAGTCCTCGGTGGGGTGGTTCTGATTCCTGCGCTCAGTCCTACAGCCTGTGCACAACCGGTTGTTACAGGTGCTGTGATTGCAACACCCAAGGAAAAAAAAAGCCCTTCTTCTCTCATTTCTGGATCTCACGGAACTCTCTTTGTGATGTGCTGGTTGGGAGGGGGTTTGAAATGTGTGAAAGCATCAGGAAATGGCAGAAAAGGCAGTTCTGGGGCAACAGCAGTGCATATTGTTGTGGATATTAATTTTCATTTGAATATGGGCTCCCTTGAAGTCTTGACTTCTGAATAAGCATCATTGATCAGAAAGGGAGATTGTGGAATATCAGTTGGGCTATTGGCATCGGAAAATTCATCCCCAAATTGCTCCTAAACCACTCAGAACTCATGAAAAGGAAATGAGGTCTTAGAAATTTACCCAGTCTTGCTTCCAGGAAAGTCATTAAGAATCTGGACAGTATTGGTAGTTTGCACAAACTTGGCTTTTTTTTTTCTAATTCTTTTTATTTTTTTTTTCCTTCCTCTCCTCTTTCTATGTGCGCTCGTGAAAAACTAGGTGGTGAGGTGGGGCAGGAAATGGTTTCTTTCAGATCACTCTCCTTTCTCACAGTAAAAGGGAGTTCCCCACAGTTGTAGTTGCCATGTGTTTTTAGGTCCCCAGTTCATCTACCCTAATCACTCCCTTTTGCTGGTGCCACATCCCTGACGTAGGAATGATGGAAATGCTTTGCTTCTGATGGAATACCAATGAACTGATATCTCGGTGCTGTTAGTTATGTTTAATAAATAAGAAGCCCCTCAAATAGAAAATTAGTGGGGAATTACCATTTTATAAGTATCCATTCTTTAAATAAATATTGAGGCCCTAACACCGGATGATAGCTTCTAGGGATGCAGGGATGAGCCGTGTGAATTCTTCTGTCAAAAAGTGTATAATCTTCTAGGAAGTCATAGATGATGATGAGGTCATGAACTCAGTGTATGATGGTGAGCCCTCAGGTCCTTAAAGGTGTAGATTTAGTGCAGGGGAAGTCCAGATTACCGCGAGCACTTTGTGGGTGAAGAAACATGGAGGTACTGGTCATAAGTGGCTTCCCACGGAGGTGGCATCAAGAAATGAGGCCACTTAGAGGAAGGGCATTCCAGGCCAAGGAAACAGCATAGCAAGGGTATGGCAGTGGAACATTTCAGCACATTTTGAGGAAAAGCACATATGGTGGAGTTACATGATATATGTTTATAATCGTATATATAATCTCAGTAGAAACAACAGAAAATTAAAAGAGTGCAAGCTATTACCCTTGATAGCTGTGTGTCCTAGAGTGAGCCTGAGAGAGAAGACATGAATCCGCTGTGGGTCACAGTCTCTCTGCTTCTGGTGGTGAGAGCTGAGAACATGTCCTGCACCTTTGGGAAATTTAAAGAATTTTCAGGGAAAAAAATTGATTGTATGTAATATTAATCTTATGGCCTAGGATTTTCGCCTAACCTTGGAATAAAATGCATTTCCCATATAGTAAAAAGGGAAATAAGATTGAAAAGGCAGTGTGGAACCAGATAGTGGTGGAAATGTTGAGTGCCCAAATGCCATTTTATAAAACATGACACTAAAAGAATGCTCCCCGTGGCTTTCTTTTCCTTACTCATGTCTTCTACCAGGTAGAAAGTGACTCCTTTCTTTTCTCTGTAGTCTTTTTCCTGGTTTTACTGGGACACAGATTCTAAGATTGAGGAGGAGGAAAGCCAGCAGAACCAGGGGCAGGAAGCAATAAAACAATGACATGACAGGACCCGGCAGGTGACTGATCCTGCCACAGCCTCCACCACCTGTCTTCCCAGAGCACTCTTCGTCACTCTCAGTGGTTACCTGGTTACCCTGTTTTTATGTCATATATAGCCATCAGCTACATTGCAAGGAAAACCCAAAACTTGGCAGGGCAATATTGCTTTCTAAAAAGGTAGGAGAGAAGGGTTGTGGTGGGATTTGGAGATTGGAGAACTGAGTTCAAGTCTTCACCCTGCTGCTTCCTAGCTGTGCAAT